CTAGATTCAGAGAGGCAAGTATATATGGTCAAGGAGGTCAGCCAGCCTCTGAGACTCATAAGACTGTCGCTGCTGGGGACTCAGCGTTGGATGTCTTAGATGTCTTTAATGAACCGGCAGATCAGCATGGTAAAGGAACATTCATAAAGAAGCATGGTAGGTAGCATCCCTACCAGAGAAACCCAGTTACTAAAACTGGGACCCAAATCAAAGTGGATTTGCAGTATTTGATTTGAAGTTGAGCAACCTGAGAAGTTGTCCCAGTGTGGCTTAGCATAGTACATAACCAGGACAAGATTTTCCCAGAGTAGGTCAAGTCGGGCTCAATTTCTGGACAGGACTCCCACTAGCACTAGCTGTGAGGAGTAGGAGGACACCAGGGCAGAGACAAAGGGAAGACTATTTTTAAACTAAATGAACCTATTGATGAAGAAATGTTTGCATTATTTCAAAATCATTAAATGAGATTACAACAGGTTAGTTTCATTTTTTTAATAAAACAAAGCAGTGTTTCTTGCCTGAATTTAAGATAGGTTTGTAAAATTTTATTTAAAATCAAATATTGTTCAATTTATATATAACCATTTTTTAATTGTCCAAATATTTAACTCAGAATTGATAAATTACTAGCAGGCTTTAGTCTGGAAATGTGTCACACAGAGTATTTGCTAACATAACTTTAAGTCATTTTGAATAACAGTTGCCTACATGAGCTGAAGAGTGCCAATTTTAGTATGTTCCCCACATTTCTAACTTCCCTATCACAAGAGAGTGCCTGTTTATGACAGTGAATTAAAAACATATCAAGTCTATAAGAACAGTATCTAACTGCAGGAAAATTATATAGAGACCTTTATAATGTCTTACTGACATTTTATCACATCCATACTTGGTTAGTATCATTATAGTATACAGGTTTATAAAAAGGCAGAACAGTTTTTAGAAATGGTTCACATAGTTATAATAGAGTTTAAAGTAATTTTTTATTAGTAAATTAATTTCTATTTTAATTCAAAATTCAATTAGATTTCAGGTAATCAATGGAAATATTTATAAATTATTTAAATAAATGTCAAAGGTTAAATATTACATGTTTAATTCTGATATTAAGATATTTGATATTATACAAATATAATTCTGATATTAAGATATTATTTATTTTAAATTGGAAAATTTCAGATGCCTTTCCCAGCACTAACTAGAATATTATCGGTATGGGTAGCCTTTTTTCCTACATCCTCTGTGAATTGTCATTTATTGATGCTACCAGCAGGTCCAGTGAACTTTTTTTGAAAGTGCCTTATTTTTCAGACAGCTTGGTCCCAGTAAATGCATTATCATCTACTGAGTTGCTTATGCCAGAAACCTAAAGAGTCATTCCTAATGACTTTTCCTCCTTTACACTTGACATTTGATAAATCACCAAGTCCTGTCAAGCCTACCTCCAAAAATATATATTACATCTCTTTACTTTTTTGCATTTTTCTCATTTCCACTCTAGTCTTAGGTCTCTTTTTTTTAATCTTCATCTGAGGCTATGTCACTGATTTTTTAGAGAAAGAGGAAGCAGAAGAGAGAGAGAGAGAGAGAGAGAGACCAGTTGTTTCCTATACACCCCCTGCCCGGGGGTCGAGCCTGTAACCTAGGCATGTGCCCTGACTAGCAGTGAACCAGCAGCCTCAGCGTACAGGACGATGCTCCAGCCAACTGAGCACACAGGCCAGGGCCCTGGGCCTCTTTTTTACCACCCGTGCCTGAAGTTTCTATAGGCTACAATAAGAAATGTGAATAGTATTCTATAGAATAAATGAGTCAATAAACAATTATGGAAGAAAGGGAGTTTTAATTGTGTTGCTAGCTAGCATATCTTTCTCAACGCTCCTTTTATGTACAGAAGAAAACCAGTCAGTACACAAATAATTAGGTCCATGTTCTGAGCATTGTTGCTGTGAAATGGCCCTGCTTGCGTCTTTTCTCCCCTTGTTTACTTTTGCCTTTCTTTACTTGCTCCCTCCCCATCTCTTGACCTCTCACCTTCGCCTTCTTCCCTTCCCTNNCCTCTTCCCTTCCCTTCCCTTCCCTTCCCTTCCCTTCCCTTCCCTTCCCTTCCCTTCCTTTCCTTTCCTTTCCTTTCCTTTCCTCTCCCTCTTTCCTTCCCTGAAGTATTTACGATTTCTTGCATAACTATTCCACCCCAGCACTCTGATGGACCTTCCAGGCATGTTCCTATTTTCTCCATTAATCCACACCACAGTCCTTTGAGGTAGGCTCTGTTATGAGCTCATATTGCAGATGAGAAAACTTGGGCTCAGAGAGCTTAAGTGGCTCATTGCTGATAAGAAAGATGGTTGATATGGGTGTGAGCTGGTGACACTTGAGACTGGGGATCAATTAGTTAGGCCTGGCAATCTTTGAGCAATGCTTAATTAAGGTCTGAACAGGGCATGGGCAGAGGGAGGGAAAATAAGGGGACAGATGGGGGATACAATAAAAAAAGGTTCTTTGAAGTGCTGATGGGCACTCTTTAATAAAAACAGGGCCTTGCTGAAAGCATATTTCATTCTTCAAGCAACTTACATGAGATTCAGCAAGTCACAGGAAATACAGAACAGGAAGAAGGGCAGAGTGGAAAACTGATTTCAGTTTAGTTCCAAGGTGCTTCGCCTCCTGCTGTTTCAGCCACGGCATTCTTCTGTGCTACAAGGACCCTTTTGAATGATGCCCTCCAATTCCCTCTATGGGAATGCTATCCAGATAAAACCACTTGAATTTTTTTTAAAAAAGGCTCTTTACAAAGAAACTGAACATGTTTGGAGAGGAGTTTGTCTTCCTCTGCAGTTCACTAGAGAGAGTATAAGGCAGAATGTCAGTGTGAACTGGAATATGTGGAATTAAAAAGAGAAGGTTGTGATATATGGTTTCTGGAAAAATTTGGGGTGTTGGATTTATCAGCGTTTTTTTTTTTTCTGTTTTCTTTCTTACTACTCATATACACCTAGAGTGAAGGAATAAATAAAGGGATCCATGTAAAGGATAATTCCACATCACCAAATTGGGTGGAGCCATCTCAGACAGTTAGGAATAAAGGCCAATGAGACCCTTTCTTTTAAATCAATAAACCTGACTGCTCTCCACAATGCCATTTGTAAGCTAGTTAACTTTTTATGGTCACCAGAGAGGGAATGGAGGGATTTGGAGAAGCTCAGTTTTGCTGTTTTGCTGTTTTTCCAAAGCTGGAGGGAAAAAAAAAGTGAAATTAATCCTTGATTCACTGCAACAGTGAAAGGGATTAATTTCTCCCTCTCAAGTAATGAAAGAACCAAAAGTCAAGTCACAGCTTCTAGAATTGATTTTTCAAAAGTCAAAGGTCATGTGTTAAGTACTTTTAATAAAAATCATTACCCAACTTGCCCATGAAGACGAGGTCATGTTACAAGAATGCTCCCATAACAGTGACAGCTTAGATGGCTCGGTGAGGGAGCAGGCAATGCGTCTGAGCTGCTGAGCCCAGGCAGAACAGATCTCATACAGAAAAGAAAGACATTAGACCATTAAATAAGAAAAAAATAGCTGAACACTTTCATTTAACTCCCCAAAACAATGTGACTTGGGACATCCAACCATATCATTTGTGGAAGAATTTGCACAGGAAGAATTTGAGCACCAGAGATTTTGCAGTCTGCTGGTGATTGCTTGAAATCAATGGGAAAGCATAAAAGGTGCTAATAAATTTAACTGCTACCCACATGTGAGGCTGAAGAAAATGATAGAATTGCTTCCAAAGATGAAAAATGGCCATTGAGAGGGTTTACCTACTGGCATGCAGAGTATATAACTGATTTTCTTAATTAATTGCTGTAGGCATTGGTATTAAGGTATCAGCTACGTGGGCATAATTTATGCAATCACTGGAAATCCCCAACTATGATAAAGACAAATTATTTATGTCAAAACTAAATATTTCTCATGTAATCATTAGTATAATTAAGTTCTTCAAGCTTATCAAATGGTTAACAATCATCTGGTAGACATACTAAGCACTATTATTCCTTTTTCAATATGTACGTTGAAATTTAAGTCATTCCCAAGACTGATGAGAGGTCACTCAGTAAAGTCATAGCAAAGCATTAACTGGAAAACATAAGGTTTTACTTCTTGGTTTAAGGTTTAATGTCTTCATATGTATTTTCATTTTCTATTTGAAATTATGTTTTACCTTTTAAAAAACAAGCTTATAGTCCTTAGAAAATGATGTTCTTTTGATTTGCCAAGGGCTATGTATGGAAAGGCCTACTGGATATATTAAAATCTAATTATTTAAATTTAGATTTATTCCTTTCAATAATATTTTATAATAGACTTTAGGTGAGTAGAATTGCCAACTAGACACTCTATGACTGCTTATTTCAGTATGAAATGGTAATAAAACCTTAGATTCAACAGTTGGATTATCTTCCAGTGATAATATAAGGTGACTTCTGGCCATTCATTCTACTCTGTGCCTCAATTTCCTCTTTTGTGAAATTGTTAAATGGTGATAAAACCTTCTGTGACTACCTTGAAGCACTGAAAAGTAAAAATGAGTAGTGGAATATAACTAGAAGATATAACTCTACATCAAATCTGGTTTTCTTTTATAAAACACTTGAGAGCAAGGAACATGTCCGCACATATGTATGTGGCAGGGTAGTAGGGGGCGGGCAAGTTTGTGTGTATATAAGGCTATGAGTTCTTTGGGAGCCACGGACAATATATCATTATTTTTTATTCATTAGTTTATCTCCCAAAGAACTTAGTCAATCAAATAAATTGTGTATTTTTGTCAAAATTAGACAAATAGGAACACTACCAGATAGTAGTACTGGATTTAATTTGGTTCTAACTGCCACACCCTAACACTTCTTGCCTCTGCTTTATACTTGGGTTTGGGTCATTTCTTTGACCCTGTTCTTTTGCCCATCCTTTGTTCAATGTTTTAATTTATATCTGTAATTTTACAGAGTATCAAAGTAAGCTGGCTGCCTCCTCCATCAGGAACACAAAATGGATTTATTACTGGCTATAAAATTCGACACAGGAAGACGACACGCAGGGGTGAGATGGAAACATTGGAGCCAAACAACCTCTGGTATCTGTTCACAGGTCAGTGTTCACACCATGTCGTCCTGCAGGTTTTTGATGAATTTAGTGTGTTAGGAATAAAATATATTCTCACTTCAAGGGAGCACTATTTTTTTGCCCTGGCAGGTGACATTTGTTGGTCTGAGCAAGAATAACCTTAATATTTTGAACTTGGTATTTTCTCTAATGCTTTCACTATATATTTTGTTTCTTGATCATTACCTTAATAAATGCATCATAGATTTTATTAGATCTGTATTAGTTTCTCAGCATTGGTGATTCAACATAGCTCTTGTTGTCAAATAACTGTAGAATTTTTAACTAATAACTCTTAAAAGTCATCTAATCAAATGGTTCCAAGTTTAAGCTGCCTTGGTTCCCTGCCCCCCAGTCTCCAGGGGTGATGATGGTGTTAGAAAATGGAAAGAAGTGTAGCTTGGGAAATAAACAGAGTTGGTTCTACATTTCTCAAATATAAAGGTAAATTCACTTTTATAGCAGTATTGGTGGAACTCATATTAGGTCAAACTTCTCTATGAAAACTGCCACAATTTTTATGCAGTATTTAGAGGATTTTTATTTTATTTTTTATAAAATTAATAATTATATATTTCCTTTAACTATTAGAATACAATATATGCTAGTGCAGTTTCTTTCCTAGAACATAGAGACAGAGACAGGCTTTCAAAAATAACACCTTTGGCCAGCCGGAGTGGTTCGGCGATTGAGCACCTACCTAGGATCCAGGCGATTGCCATTCGATTCCCAGCCAGGGCACATGCCTGGGTTGCAGGCTCAATCCCCAGTCGGCGGCGTGCAGGAGGCAGCCGATCAATGACTCTCATCATTGATGTTTCTCTCTCTCTCTCCCTCTCCCTTCCTCTCTCCAAAATCAATAAAGACATATTTAAAAATAAAATAAAATAAAAACACCTTTGTGGGTGCAAGCCCAGGGAAACAGGAGTAAGGGAACAAGGGAAAGGAGCAAGGGAAAAAGAGAAATCCTATCATGGTAGCATATTATTGAGCTGGCCCCAATTTAGAACACATACAGAGCTTGCTTGGCCTCATATGGTGTCTCCTGAGGGGCTGCATGCCTCACAGTCAACAGCTGGGTAGGAAGTGTGAGCAGTTTCTTTTCTATCATGAGTAAAAATCCACTGACAGGTTAGATTTTGTACCTACCAACAGCTCCCTGGGATGCCAGGGCTTCTGGTGAGTATGCAGACACGGAATCTTCTCTCTGTCAGTCAGCATATATGTGATGGTGGCTTGGTCTAGGGGAGTAGCAATACTCAGGGCTTGGTAGCCCTAAAAGCATAAACTGTGCCAGTGGCTTGAGAAGCAAAGCAAATAGCAGTGGCTCATGACAAGGATCGGTGGGTGAAATTGAGCAAATCTGGGATGGCACATAAACTGTGTCTAGAACAATATACACACTAAAACCTATAACTGACAGACAATAAATAAGTAATATTTTTGCAGATGGGGAAAAAAGAAAGTAACCCCTTATTTATTCCTTTTTTCATAATAAGTAATCAGTAAATTTCCATTTGAAATCATAGCACAAGCGCACAACACACACACTTTAAGGCAATGTTCAGCCTACAGTCTGAAACTTGATAGAAAGCTGGGCCCCCCCCTTCAGGTTGTCTTTTATGCCTAAAAAATGTTAGCGTAATGGTGAGAGTGTTTCCAAGGTAGATTGCCCAAAGCACATTATGTGTTTTATATCTGGACAAAATCTCCTAGGCAGGTATCACTGAATCTAAGCGGAAGCCATCCCACTCTACCATACCTTTTAAAAAGTTTAAAAAAAGCCAAGATCCTATGACTTTTTCTCTGATGAAATGATGGGAAGAAGGTAAAAATAATTGAAGTTGAAGTGAGGTGTATGTGTTCTTTGTGATATTTAATGAAACATGTATTATACTTTGGAAGAAATCACCAACATTTTAAAATCTTGCTGAAAAAACTTTAGTATAATTCCTAAGATTTATGTTAGGCTAGAAGAAAAGATTCTAATGATAATTTAATCGAAGCCTTATATTTTAATAGATATGGACACTTGAATCTCCAAAACTGGTGTTTGTTTTTTTTTAATATATCTTTATTAATTTCAGAGAGAGGAAGGGGGAGGGAGAGGGAGAGAGAAACATCAATGATGAGAAAGTCATTGATCAGCTGCCTCCTGCACACCCCCAACTGGGGATCGAGCCCGCAACCCGGGCATGTGCCCTGACTGGGAATCGAACCACGATATCCTGGATCCTAGGTCAATGTTCAACCGTTGAACCACACCTGGCAGGGCTCTGAAACTTTTTAATCATTACTTTTCTTTCTCAAATGAAAAAGATTAAAAATATAAAATAAACTTTTCTTTAGAGAGTAATTAATTAAAGTATGAGCATTACAATAGAAAAACTAAGGATTGGATGTTCAATTTACAGAGCTATAAATGGTAAATAAGCATGATTAAATGTTCAGACTCATTAGTAAAGAAATGTAAATTAAAGCAAAAATGCTCATTTAGCATTTTTCTTTGATTAAAGTAATAAAGATAAAAATTAATGATGATACCCTGTTCTGGAAAGCATATGAGAGAAATACAAACTTTCATATACTGCTTATGAGAGAAAAAATTTCTAGAATCTTTCTGGAAGGAATGTACATGTGTTATATACAAATGCGTGTGTGTGTGTGTGTGTGTGTGTGTGTGTGTGTGTGTGTAATGCACGTGTATTTATGAAGAATAAATGTATGATCCAGGTTTCCAACTTCTAGGAGTTTGTTCCAATTTGACAGTCATCTATTTCACAAACTTTTTAACTCTAAGTATGACTAACTCTTTGCACTGTTACTTTAATAACAAATAATGAAAAAGACCCTAAGTATCCACTTATAGGCAGTTAACTAGAAATTTCAGACATAATTATATCAGGGAATATTGTACATCAATTGAAAATGAAGTAATGTAAAAATGCTAAATGATATGTAAAATATTTAAAATATATTAAGTGACTAACAGTTTTAAATCAGTAATTAGTATACAAGCCCATATTTGTAAACCAAAAAAATGAAACCATTGAAAAATATTTAGAATAATATATACCAAAATATTAATAGTAATTATTGCTAACTTGTAACAATAAAATATGTTTTTAATTACATATGTAAAGTGAAAACCAAGGTCAAGACCCTAGTGTCATATTACAATTTTTGGTTACAAAAATTGAAGATTTTCTCCCCCTAAGCTAAGTGTATGCCCACTGAACAGCTAAGAATGAGTGGATCCAGAAAGTAAATGTGGGTCAGTAGCCACATGGCCAAAAGAACTTGCTGGTGTGAATTGTTTAGTATTTGTGCAGTTTTTTGGCAAATGGAATTTATCACACTCAGCTCAGTATTATCAAATCAAGATTCTGACTCCTAAATAGATAAACTTATAGGATTTGCTCTCTACAAAAGGTATAATCATTTAAAAAAATAAATATAGAGAGAGCTGCAAGTATAAATCCTTTCACTATCAAAAAGACCCTATATTGTTAGTCCTAGGGCTGCAGTAACAAATTACCACAAACATGGTGGCTTAAAACAAGAGTGATTTTTTTTCTTTCAGTTCAGGAGGCCAGAAGTCCAAAATCAGTGTGTCAGCAGGGTTGGTTATTTTAGGAGGCTGTGAGAGAGGATCCATCTGACATCTCTCTCCTAACCTCCAGTGGTTGCCTCCAGCGGTTGCCTCCAGAGATTGCTGCCAGCCTTTGACATTCCTTCGCTTATAGGTGCATTGCTCAAACCCTGGCCTCCATCTCTGCATACCTTCCTCTGTGTATTTCTGTGCCCTCTCTTCTTACAAGAACACCAGTCATTGTATATACCCCTCCATAAATCCAGGATGATTTCATCTTGAAATTTTAAAAAATATGTCTTTATTGATTTTTAGAGAGAGAGGAAGGGAGAGGAAGAGAGAGAGAAAAACAGTGATATGAGAGAGAAACATCTATGGGTTGCCTCCCATGTTCCTTGACCAGGATTGAACCAGCAACCTGGGCATGTGCCCTGATCAGGAATCAAACGGGGGACCTTTCAGTACCCAAGATGACGCATAACCAGCTGAGCCACACCAGCCAAGGCTTTTTAAAAAATATATATGTTTTTGTTGATTTTTGGAGAGAGGGGGAAAGAGAGTCTTCTTAAAATCTTGAACTTACTATCTCTGCAAGTGCCCTATTTTCAAGGAAGGTCACATTCTGATGTTCCAAGTATACATAAGTTTCAGGGGGACACTATTCAATTCACCACAGACACCTTTTATTATTTTTCCTCTCAAGGACAATTATTTTGAATTGTATCCTTTCATAAATGTTGTTTACTCAAAAATAAATAATTTAGTCCTACATTCTTATTCATCTGAAATGTGTGTGACAATCAGAGCTTCAAATCAACATGAAATAACCCATCACCACTCTGGTTTAATATCATTCCAGCTTCTAGCAAAGAAATAGGTCAACTTGATATTGGAGTAGTTCACAAATGCCTGTTCCCATCTTCATAGCTGTGTAAGAATTTCAACTCCAAAGTTGAAGCCTTCATTGGTACTGTTCTTTCTTCCTTTCTCTACTCATAAAATGCATTTGGGAATGAAAACATAACCTGAGCAGTTATATTTACAACCATAACTGATGTTTATTGCAAAAAAGTCACAGACTCCATCTTTAATTTGAACCAAAGAAATAAAAAGAACCAGAAGATAGCCTTATGCCCTAAAATCATTAAAAACAAGTTTTACAAAACTTCTACCTTCCTTAGCTCTTCTCTTTGATCTGGCTTTCATAATGCCTGTTGCATTTCTAGATATTGTGGAAATGTCTTCAAAGCTACAAAGCATGGGGAAATCAGCATGTAACTCACACTGGTAGACTGGCCCTGGTTTTGACTTGGCCCCAGGATATATTTAGTAACTTATGTACTTTCTAGTAAGCAGAAGTAATTGATTTTCTATAGTAATTTACAGCACTTTA